AGCATGCCCCCCCCCCCTCGGCCGGGCCCCGTTCCGCTGCTTCTGTTTCCCTCCCCCCCCCACGGCTGCAGGCTCCGCCCCCCACGGCTGCAGGCTCCCCCCCCACGGCTGCAGGCTCCGCCCCCCACGGCTGCAGGCTCCCCCCCCGCTGCTGCAGGCTCCGCCCCCTGCGGGCCGGCCGGTACTCACTGGTCTTGCCGGTGTCGGTCAGGCTGGGCCCGTCTCCCTCGGCGTACACCGGCACCACGGTGACGGTGTAGCTGGTGTCGGGCAGCAGCTTCTGCAGGATGGTGGAGGTGGTGCTCTCAGACACTTGTTCCTGCCGGAGACACAGGAAGTGAGGTCAGGACAGGAAGTGAGGCCAGAGCAGTCAGAGTTCTGTAGATCCAGCAGCAGGTCCTGCAGAGGAAGCTGACGGAGACTTTTGGTTTGAATGTATTGTAACGGCAGAAGGATTTGGATCTCCGCAGCGTCAGAGGAGTCAGATGTTTCTCCGTCGGCTCGCCGGGATTTAAAAACAGTAAATCCACAAACTGAAGAATCCGTGCGGACCAGCCGAGGTCGGAGTTTCCTGGCAGCAGCCGGCGCTGCTGTCTGGCGGCGGAGCGCATGGATTATCCCGTCAGAGGCAGCGCTCCATAAATCCCCGCCGAGGCTTTGATCGGCTCTCCGAGGGCGACGGTTCGAAACCCCGAGAGCCACTAGCTGCCCTGCAGCAGGAGGCTCAACATGTCAGGCTGAAAAACGATCAGCAAGATCATTTTTCATCCCCAGAAAACTCCCCAAGTTACTGCGATGGGAGCAAAGCCATCAGCTACGAGCTCAAACACGCTCAGAGACGATTCCTCAGGCAGAAATGTGACCTAAAGAAAACATTTCACTAATCAAATTTGAAAAGTATTTTAACAGAGAAAAGCTCTAAACAACCAGCTGCCTGTATCCAAGCATGTTGATGGAAAGTTGAGTGGAAGGAAAATGGAATCATTTCAGAGCCGTGAGCAGTTACTGAGAACTTCTGCTCAGCTGTTTCTTTATTATATTACTTTTAATACGCTGCTCAAAAAAATAAAGGGAACACTCAAATAACACATCCTAGATCTGAATGAATGAAATATTCTCATTGAATTCTTTGTTCTGTTGAATGTGCTGACAACAAAATCACACAAAAATCATCAATGGAAATCAAATTTATTAACCAATGGAGGCCTGGATTTGGAGCCACACACAAAATTAAAGTGAAATGTTCCCTTTATTTTTTTGAGCTGTATATTTTCTGGGAAACGTTGAGTTTTAATTCGGCGTGAAGCCAGAATCCTGAACTTTAACAACAATAAAACTCAGTAGTTTTCGGGTCGGTAGTTTGATGACCTCACCACGATTTCCAGGCCGCCGTTGGCCGGGACGTAGATGACCTTGTAGCCCTGGACGTTGCCGTCGGCGGCGTCCCAGTTGACGGCGAGCGTGGTGATGGTGGGGTTGCTGACCCTCATGCCGCTGACGCCGCTCAGAGGCACTGTGGGCAGAAACACGCAGACATGCCGGGTCAAAGGTCGAGCGTGAGGGAGGGCGAGCCCAAACGTTCTGCGGCAGCGTACATGTCTTCCCGTCCTCAGACTGCCGCCGGCCTTCGCGCGCCGGGTACACCGGCACCACGGACACGGTGTAGAGCGTGTCGGGCTGCAGGTTCCTCAGGACGGTGGCCGTGGTTCCTGAGGGAACTTGTTCCTGTAACGGACGCAGAGGGTCAGAACGCCGCCTGGTCAGTCGGTCCGGCGGCGGCCCGGTTCTCACCATCTCCTCTCGGCCGCCGGCGGCGGGAACGTAGAAGACCTTGTAGAGGCGCACGGCGCCGTCGGCCGGGTCCCAGCGGACGTTCAGGGACGTCATGGTGGGGTCGCTCACCATCAGGTTCTTCACGCCGCCTAACGCTCCTGAAGCAGACAGACCGCCGCTGAGACGACGGAGTTTTCTCCGAGTCATGCCGGGTTTGGGACTTACTGGTTTTCCCGTTTTCAGACATCCTCTTCCCGTCTCCCTCAGCGTAAACCGGAACCAGCGTGACGGAGTACAGCGTGTCGGGCTGCAGGCCGCGCAGGATGGTGGCCGTGGTTCCCGCCGACACTGTTTCCTGTTTGCAGCAACATGCCACACTAATCAGCCGCTTGGAGACACAGCCTCAGCATCAGCCCGACGTGACCTGCAGCTTTCTCAGAATATAATCTGCTGTTTCACATTATGAACAACTGCTGCTCTGCTCTGGCCCGGATTATGTTTTCATTCAGCTGCAGCGGCTACTGCTAAATGAAAAGTTAGCTCTGCTGTTAGCATGTTAGCACTGATAAAAGAACCGAAAGCACCTGAAGAATCGGTGTAGCTAAAGTTCCTCTGCTCCACAGGAAACCAGGGCGTTTCCATAGCAACTGCTGACCCAGCATTTCCCCGCTTCACCCCACAGCTTCTTTCCTCACGTTAAAGACTGAAACTCTGCCAGGTTTCCAGATCAGAATAAAAGCTCAGCTCAGCCTGACCCAGCGGCAGAACTTTAACTAGGCCAGTTACAAAGTGAAGCGCTGAGGGAAGCAGGTTCCTACCAGTCCTACCATGCTCTCCGCTCCTCCGGCTGCCGGAGCGTAAATCACTTTGTACTCGCTGACCCGGCCCTCCGCCGGCTCCCACCGCACGTTCAGCGTGGTCATGGTGGGGTTGAGCACCTGCAGGTTCCTCACACTGCCTAGGGGCTCTGCAATGGCAAACACAGCTTTAATCTGGGATTATTCACTTAAATATAGCCTTAATCTGGGATTAGTCACTGAAACACTGCTTTAATCTGGGATTAGTCACTGAAACAAAGCTTTAATCTGGGATTATTCACTTAAATATAGCCTTAATCTGGGATTAGTCACTTAAATATAGCCTTAATCTGGGATTATTCACTTAAATATAGCCTTAATCTGGGATTATTCAATTGAAAACAACTTTATTCTGTCAGTTTTCTCTGTGATTTACTGGATTAACAGTTCATCCCAGTGGCTCCCAGTTGGTGTGGAGGCTTACTGGTTTTCCCCTCTCCTTTGATGTCCCTACTGGCGCCTGATGGGTAGACGGCTGCCACGGTAACGGAGTACGGCGTGTCGGGCTGCAGCTGCTGCAGGATGACGTTGGTCTTCTTCCCGCCGACCTGCAGCTGCTCACAGGAAACACAGAGTCAGATTACACACAGGCTCTATAATCTCAGATTATGGTTTCTAATGTCCCAGCAGACTGTTTGTTGGATCTCTGCAGCCTGAAGCAAACCCAGCGCCTCGGAGGCGGCCCGGTTCTGAACCAGAGGAATAGAGTTCGGACGACGACATCTCAACCTGTTCACACGAGTCGGTGTGAGGTAAACGCAGGAGGAGTCATGCTGCGGGACCTTCAACTCCTAAAGGATTAAAGTCTGATGGCTGCAGCTTGGTCCAAACTGGACAGGACGGCTGAAACAGAAGAACTAACGACCTAGTCAAAGTCCCGATCCTTCAGATATGCTGTCTGATATCTAGGACAGAAGGTTCTGCCGGGCCTCTCCTGGTTCTGAGGTCCATCGGTCAGAACATCTCAGAGACTCAAATTCCCAGCATTCCTTCCTGCAGTCCGTAGATTGAAGCGGATCCGGTCCGTAGATTGAAGCGGATCCGGTCCTCAGATCGAGGCGGATCCGGTCTTCAGATTGAAGCGGATCCGGTCCGTAGATTGAAGCGGATCCGGTCTTCAGATTGAAGCGGATCCGGTCCGTAGATTGAAGCGGATCCGGTCCTCAGATCGAGGCGGATCCGGTCTTCAGATTGAAGCGGATCCGATCCGTAGATCGAAGTGGATCCGGTCCGTATATTCTTGCATTATGACGTTTCTCTCCCGTGTTAGAGAGAGAGTGGTTGCAAAGCAGTTTGATTGGTCAAAACTGATTGGAAATCGCTAAATAAGTTCAGTCCACTGACCGTTGTCGCATAATCCCCACTGTATTTTGTAAAGTTATGACTTTATTCTGTTATCATCAAATTGTTTGAAGTTTTATCCCTTTGCTCTCTGATCATCACAATGAACCCCCTCCAGGATCCGGGCCGGGCCTTACCGTCTGAGGCTCGCCGCCGGCGACCGGCAGGTATGTGACCTTGTAGTTCTTGACGGGACCGGGAGCGGCGTCCCACTTCACGGTCAGCGAGGAGACGGTGGCGTTGAACACCCGCAGGTTCCGCGGCGGCTCGGGTCGCACTGGAGGCAGAGAGAGGACACAGTGAGGGGGGATGAAGGTGATGATGATGATGGTGGTGGTTCCTCTGCAGGAGGTCATGGAGCTGCAAAGGTCAGGATTAGGATGGAAGCAGCAGGATGATGATGATGATGATGATGAGTGAAGCTGGAGCAGAACTGGACTTCAGAACCCTGACTGTTCAACCCAAACCCAACAGTTCTGGTTGGTCCAGAACTAATTTACTTAACCGGGCTTCACAAGTAGCACCATGAAGACCAAGGACCAGAGGACAGCTCCAGGTTAGCCTAGGCTAATACTAGGCTAACCAAGGCCAACGCTAACCTATCAATGTCCAACGCTCAGCTAACCAGGGCTATCCAAGGCTAATGCTAGGCTAACCAACAACAACGTTAACCTATCCAGGATAACAATAGGCTTATGAAGGAAAACAACAGACTTACCAAGGATAATGCTAAGCTATCATAGGCTATCTTTAGACTGCTGTGCTAATGGACAGTACAGGAAGAAGACCAACCTAGGCATGCTAGTCACTAGAGTCTCCAAAGCTAACGCTAGTGAGCTGTCTCCATCTGATTGACCAGCGTTGAATGTTCAGTTAGCAGTGGCAGTTTATCGTTTATCAGATCAGTAGCTAGCTTTGGAATGAATATAGCGTCTACACTATCCACCGCTGGGTATGCTAATGTATGAACTTTGACCCCAATAGTGCAGCATACGGATGAAAATCCAGGATCAGGCTAAGCCTATAGCAGCAGCAGAGGCTGCCATGGTGATGTAGTTAGACTGAGCTCCATCGCTGCAGCAGGATGGCTGAATAACATGCGACAAAATGGATCCACACGATGGTGAGGTTATGGAGACACACAGCTGATGATGATGATGATCCTGACTCTGCGTTCACACCACAGCCAGAGGCAGGCTCCACCGGGACACACCTGGTTTGCTGCAGCTAAACTGACCCTGAAAAGCACCTAAGCTAACCCTGTAAGGCAGCTAAGCTAACCCGGTAAGGCAGCTAAGCTAACCCGGTAAGGCAGCTAAGCTAACCCTGAAGGACAGCTAAGCTAACCCTGAAAGGAAGCTAAGCTAACCCTAAATGGCAGCTAAGCTAACCCTGAAAGGAAGTTAAGCTAACCCTGAAAGGAAGTTAAGCTAACCCTGAAGGGCAGCTAAGCTAGCCCTGAAGGGCAGCTAAGCTAGCCCTGAAGGGCAGCTAAGCTAGCCCTGAAGGGCAGCTAAGCTAACCCATAGCTAAAGGAGACGCTGCTGGTGGTGTGAGCGCACAGCGAAGCTCTGCAACACAAACATGCTGAGACACGAACGCTGCCGCCAGTCGCCTCAAAGCGTGAACAAACTCTGAGAAGGTCGTGACCTCTCAGTGACCTACCATCTGGAGCCTTCAGCACTAGAAAGAGACGTCAAGAAGAAGAGCGTTATTCCTGGTTGGCCAAGAGCAGAAGGTCCTGCTGGGGGGGCGGGATCACTTACAGGTCCGCTCGGCTCCGATCAGGTCCTCGCTCTCCGACTCGTCGGGATAGATGGCCGTGACGGTCACCAGGTACTCCGTGTCCGGGTCCAGGTTCTCCAGAACGTACGAGTTCTCATCGCTGTTCAGGATTTCCTGTTGCGGACGGAACCAAGAAACTTAACATCTCTGCTAACTTTGAAACCGTCTAGTGCACTTAGCTTCCCCTAGATTCATTTTTCCAGAAAAATTCTGAAGTGCTAAATTACTTTGTTGATTTGGCTTTTGGCATTCATTGTGTTCTGTTAAATACTATATTGGCATAGCGACCTAGCACTAGCCTCCGCTAAATCCCGTGTCAACATCACGCCTTCTTAATAGCTAAATACCATTTTGGTATCGCGCTTTAGCATTAGCAGAAGCAATGCTTCTTTATGGTTGGTGCTGCCCACCACCGGGTCGAGATTTCAACCATCTAAGCTGCTGGTGTGAGGTCATTACTTCCCAGTTAAACAGCTGCACAGCATAATGCTGCCACCACCATGCTTCCAACAGCAGGTAAAGAGTCTAACTAGATAGTTTCTCAGGGATAAAACGCTGAGCAGACATATTTCAGCGCTTTGGATGCAGCTTACGTTCTTGGGGTCCTTTTCGCCTTTCCTGGTCCATGAGATCCGGAAGAGCGCCACATCTGGAGCGCCATGTTCCCAGGTGGCTCTGAAGGAGTTCTGGGTCACCTCGGAGAACTGCAGGTTCTTGGGAGCCGGGACAGTATCTGTTTAAGGAGACAGGAAGCAGATCTGACCACCGGTTAGCCTGAGGTTCACAGGCTGGAGGCAGTGCGAGTCCCAGCTGGTACCAGCAGAACCTGGAGTCTGGGTTAGGTCAGGAAAAAGCCTGAAAACTGGAGCAGGAATCAGATTTTACTCCAACATTCCTGCAGACTCCAGAGGAAAGAACTGGAGCGACCTCTAAGCCATTAATCTACAAACGTCTGGCTGTGCAGGAAGAGAGATGAGGCTGCTGGGACTCAATCAGAACCTCAGTGGTTCTGGTTCAGAAGACTAAACCTCTCAAGACCAAAGTTTAACTTTAATTCTGAGGTTTGTCCTGGTGATCTGACAGTACCAGGTCCGGTCCTGTGGACCAACAGAACCGTGATTACTCCATGAGTCTGATCTGATATTCACCCTGCAGCTTCACAAAGAAATGTAGAACCGGGCCAGAAAAGGTTGGGACATCTCAGAACCAGAGCCATAAAACTGACAAACTGAGTTATAAAGTGCAGCTGGAAGTGATGTGAGCCTGTGAGGCGCTGAATGAGCCGGGTCCGGACCTGTGATGGCGGTTCCGAGCATGGGGGCGGCAGGTCCCTCGTCGTACACGGGGGTGACGGCGACATCGTACTCCGTCTGGGAGATCAGGCTGGTCAGCTGCAGCGTGGTGATGTCACCGTTCACCTCCACCTGCAGGCGACAGTTACCGGTCAGAACCGGGTCCAGAAAGCTGCAGATCTGGATCTGCAAAACCTGAAGAGCTTTAATCAGAACCTAGACCCAGAAGAGTCTGGAAGTGAAACCGTTTTTATCTGAGGGAAAATGTTCCAGAGCAGCAGGAAGCCGAGATGAACCGCCAGGCTGATCCGGGCCGATCCGGGTCATCCATCAGAACCTTCTGGAGGCGTCAGAGACTCTGCTGACGTCCAGGAGGAAAGGGAGGATCTGTGAAAACCCAGCCAGAACCAGAACCCAGCCCGGCGGGACACTTCGGCCGTGACTGCGGCCAACAGTGAGAGGAGAACCTCCTGGAACCGGGCCTGGCTACGCTTCCTGTCTCCATGTTTCATACGACTCAGAGCCACTTGGAGCGCTCCGAGTCGCTCAGCTGGTACAAATAAAATGTCTCGTCTGTTGGAATGGCTCTGGCTACCTCCTGAAATCTAAGAGAACTTCCTGTTCCCTATAGGGTACTTCC